GCAGGCGGAGAAAGAGGAGGGAGGGGAGCCGGGGGGGAGGGGGCGCTCGTATTGGTCGGGGCTGGGGGGCCCGCGAGGAGAATGCTGATGAGGGGAAGGCGCTGCATTGGACGGAGGGCCCACCCCCGGGCCACCCCCTCCACCACCATGCCACCGCCCTGCCCAGGAGCCCACGGAGATGAGAGACAGGGAGAGCTGAGGAGAAGGCCATGGAGCTGGTGGGGAGAGGGCTACAGAGATGAAGAAAAATGCAGAGGAATAGCAAGACGGCCAGCAAAACTCACAGAGGTGGGCCAAGGTCCACAAACCCCACAAGGACAAGGACAGGGAAAAGCCCAGAGAAAAGAGAGAAAAGCCTATGGAAACATGGGAGCAGACCAGAGACAGCTAAGGACCTCAGAGACCGACGAGGGCAGCTGGTGGACACAGAGAGCCCCCCAGGAAGATGGAGAGAGGCCCATGGGAACAGAAAGCACTCCTCGGACATGGGGAGTGGTCCATGGGGATGGGAGAAGGCCACAGAAATGGGAACAAGGACGGACGCATATCACAGAGACAGGGAGGTGGGCCAAGCAAAGTAGGAGGAGGTCAGAGAAATGGGGATGGAGGGAAACAGCTCCAGGAACCCATGAAAACAAGGATGTGTGGACACAAGAGGCCCCCTAAGGCAGGAGGAGCCAGCCCCTGGAGATAAGGAAGAAGCTCCCAGAAGTAGAAATAGCCCCCATGGAGGGGAAGGGATGGGTGGGGGGAATGGGAATTGTCTATAATGCATAGAGAAATCCTTGGGCCCCACAGACATGAGCAGGTGGCGTGAAGAGGCTCTCCTTCTCAAGCCACCACCTGAGCAGAGAGGCAGTGGGAAAGGGCAGGATGCTGGAGGGCAGAGCCAGCAGAAGTGGGAGGCTCCCTCTCAGGGAGCCCATGGCAGCTTCTCAGAGGAAACTGAGCAGGACAGGGGGATGGAAGACAGAAGCAGTGACACAGATCTTAGAGTGGGGGTGGGTGATGCACGGCTGGGTGGGGGATGAAATTTGGGGGGAAGGAACATGACAGTTGGCGCCGAAGGCTGAGCCCGTGACTCACCACCACCCCCAATGCTCGTGATGGGGAGGAGACACTGACACACTCACGTGCAGCCCCCCAGCACACGTGACCATATGCCTTCACACACACACACACACAGCACATGGCAACCCTTACACCAGCCTGGCATAGAAAGCCCTCGTCCCATATGGAGCATCCCTGACATATGCCTGACACATACAATGGACCCTGAAGGACCATCAACTTTGCACACACCTCCTCACCCTACGTGGGCAACACCTATGGTCCCCCAACACCTACCCTCAGCTCCCGCAAAGGCTGAAAGCCTAGACTCTCGCCAGGCTCTAGGCCTTTGCTTATGCAGGGACCCCAGCAAAGAATGCCTATCCTCTCTAAAATAAACCTACGCCAGAAATCTAGTCTCATGCCACCACCTTCACAAAGACTGATCCAGGCCTCAGCTTACTCCTGTATCATCAGAAGAGAAGGAACCGAGCTAGTCAACCCAGATAAACTGGGAAGTCCAAGCAAAAAGTCTGAGCAGAAAGGGGCCTGACATGCCAAGCTGAACCCTTGCATTTTCAGGTGAAAAAGGGGGCTTCAGCAGGTGTGAGAACCTGCCCAACTGCATGGAGGCTATCAAAGGCTGAGTCTAGCTTCCAGGTTCTCTGGCTCCCTCCCCAGTTGATTTCACTCTGATGGCAAACCCAGATGACCAGCTTTAGAGCTCACACATTCCCACCAAGTTCTTTTCTCTACTTCTTGCGTTCATCCATTCGACATGCCAGGAGGGATAGGACATCCACCTGCCAGGCAGTAGTAGAGACTGGGGGCCAAGAGCATAGACCCTGGAGTTGATTCCTGGGTTGGAACCCTGGCTCTGTCTCCTCCTAAAGATAGGCAAGCTACTTAACTTCTCTGGGCCCCAGTGTCTTTGTAACGTGAGAACAGTAACTCCTCCCTCCTGGGGTTGTTGAGATGATTAAACTGATAAAGCGTACAAAGCACTAAGCACAATAGTTGGCACATCATAACACACTCAGGACACATCAGCTATTATTAATGAGCTCCTTGAGGTCCTAATAAAAGTAATTCTTACATAGTGTTTACGCTGTGCCTCACAACCGTGACATAGGGGCTATTATCCTCATTTCACAGATGAGGAAACTGAGGCACAGGGGAGTTAACTTGTCCAAGACATTAGCTAGGAAGTGGCCGGGTCAGGATTTCAATCCAGACAGCCTGGTTTAATTACACTGGCTTGGTGTTAGGGATTTTAATTTAGTGGAAAGTTAGGACACCCAATTAGAAACCAATTGAAGGACACAGCAAAGGTGATGACTGAAGAGTCAGACCTAGGGTTGCCTCAGTAGATTTTAGCCTCAGGAAGGCTGAGACTCAGTTTACTCATTTGAGAAATGGTGGGGCGGGGGGCGGCTAGAGAGAACAAATGAATCTCTTGCAGCTCCTCAGTCCTTGAGTTCAGAGAGTAGCTCTGGAAACATAACAGTGCGCTGCCAACGCCCTGAGGGCCAGAAGGGGAGATGAGTAGGGATGCACAGGAGCCCTTGGACACATGGAGACTCCACGGTCCAAGTGGCCCTGGGTCAGCCTAGAAAGAAGGCACCTTGGAAGGTATCAGAGCAGAGTCCATCTGCTACAGGGTCACTTTCTGCAGGTTTTCACCCTAGTTGTCCTTCAGGTCGTCCACACACACACACACACACACACTCCGTTTCTTCCAATGAAGCTGTCCTTGCTTTTTCTTTATCCCCTCCATTTCCCCATTTCCTCCCTTCTTCAGGTTTTCCTCGTTCCCTCAGATCCCCGCGCTCCTTGTTTCCCTTTTGACATTTCTCCTTCCCCCTCCCCCAAGAGTCCCTCGGTTTTTCTCCCCTTCCTTCTTGCTGTCTCCGTTCTTCTTTCTAATAAAAGGAGTCTGGAGCCTCAGTTTCCCTTTTCACTCCCTCCATGTGCTTCGTGCTGCAGTTTCCCCTCCCCGCTTCGCGCTGACAGGTGCTTCACGTTCTCCCTTCACTCCTCGGGGCTTCCTACGCCACCGTTCCCCCGCCCCCACCCTCTGGGTCTCGTGTGCCTCAATTTCTCCGACTTCCCCTCGAACCCGACGCGACTCCTGCTCGGCGCCCCCAAGATGGCGCCCGCAGCCTCGCTCCGCCGCCTGACGTCACCGCGCTGCCCTCCCTTCTTCAGGCGTCAGGCGGAGTCGACGAGCAGCTGGAGGAGGAGCATCCTCCAAGGGGCTTAAGGAGGCGGGCACTATCAACCCGGGGGCCGGCCGGTGAGGGGACATCGCTGGAGGATTGGTTGGGCACTGCGGCGGATCCCGACGCTCCATACTATTGGCCCAAGGCTCAGGGACGTGAGCCTCGATTGGTCGAAAGGCGGGAGCCAGACGGACGCTGATTGGGCGCGTTCGGCCGTTCGCGGAGCGGCCGAGGAGGAAGGTAGGCGGGGCGTTGCTGAGGGCGACTGGGGGCGAGAGCGAGGCTGCGGAGCAGACGAGAGGCGACGGCGGGAGCTAGAGAGGGCGCAGCGGTAGGGTGGC